ACCCTTAGATAGAGCCGATAACTTGACCTTAATCTAGCTCGAGCAATGGAGGTCGACCGGATCGATGCAGCCTTACTTGAACTAGACAAGAGTCGATAACTAACTTATACTAGAGTCGTAGTGGAGGTCGACCAGATCGATGTAGCCATACGAACAGAAGTATAAGCCATGACGGTACTTACAGACAAGCAGTGGAGGTTGATCGGATCGATGCAGCCGTACTTGCTAAAGAACTCACCGAGATCTACTCTACTTCTACGCCTAAGGGGTGGCCGAAGCCGAAAAAGTAAGTAACTTGTATTTGATTGATTGTGTGTCCTTTACAATAGCCGGGGTCCAATATTTATACCCGAAACTTACGTATGATTCCTACCTAAGCACGACTCATCACAATTTTTAGCCCTAGAGAAAACATTCCAAATTTAAGATAACTTTGACTCTAATCTTTCACTTTTTGTAGAGTCCAACATGCTTTGTCCCGGCGCCGATCGTAGCCTTTGTCGTTATCTGTTGCCGCAATCTGAAGAAAGCCAATTCATGTATTGCATTCGAATCAGCTGATACCGACCTGCACGCAATTGATTCCTTAATGACATGATCTTAGGAGCTTTCGAGACCCTGTAATTCATCTTCCAAATTTTGGTGTAAACACAGGGTCAAAGAAATCAAGTGAAAGCTTGCCAACGTCATCTACCATGTACTTATCTGGACCCCGGATGTGCTGCTCAAGATCAGCACCCTGACCCGAACAGCATGGAGCAACTTGGTAGCACACTGATGAGACATAGTAAAATCCAACTGACAAAGGAGTCCCCAGCTTAGCTGGCGATGCTTGCATGAAGAATCCGAACGCCAAGAAGTTCCCAGCTTAGCTGGTGACACTTGCACAAAGAATCCAAACGTCGAGGAGTCCCTCGCTTACCTGGCGAGCCCCAGCATAGCTGACGGTGAAGTGACGAACAATCCGACTAGCTGGTCGACGAAGAATCGAGCATCGAGCAGCCCAACCAACAGGTCAGCGGCGAAGTGAGCGCCGAGTAGAAGTGTGCATCGAACAGTCCGACCAACTGGTCGGCGATGAAGTCGATGAACCTAGCGTTCCGACCAGTTGATCGGCGGAGAAGTCTGAATGCCAAGTGGTGCGACCACCCGGACGATGATCCTTTTGTCCTTCTCGGGTGATCCAGTCCCCGAGCGTAAAAAATAAGCTCGCTGACTGAACCAATCCCCTGCAAAACAGATATGTAGAATAGGTAGTACATGAAATGTAAAAATAAATAAACTCTGGATTAAAATCAGCAGTGATGAAATAGCATATGGCGAGCAGTTGTAGATAAACATTAAGTTTATTTGGAGTGTTCATATTTAATATAAACCGGCCTGACCAGTTAGTTCGTCGTTGAGCCCCCTGCCCCGGCTAGCCTGAAGTCCATAACGCAGAGCGCCGAAGCTTGTGCACGTGTGCGAAGACAAGCGTCACCGAGGAGCCACTACCGACCACCCATAATGCAGAGCGCTGGAGCCCGTGCACATGTAGGGAGAAGCCAAGGACACTGCCATTTCCGGAAAACACAAGTGAAAATGTGTCTATTCGGCAAGTCGTATGGCAAAATTGTATGTCATCTTTAACATGGTATACATGTAGGAAAAAATTATTTGGAGAACAATTATGGAGAAAACAGCATGGAGAAATATCATGGAGATTTATGAAGGTTGGAGAATATTTAGAAAAATATTAAAGCGTGACTTAGCTTGATTGATGACCGAGTGGAGTAGTTGGTGTGTGGAGATGTCAGAGTAGATGGATATGGCTTGGACGACTCGCTTAGCAGCTCGCTTGACTGCTGGAATGGAGTTGATCGCGTTTTGTCTGCTTGCTTGATGTAGTCGGACGGGATGCTTTGGTCTCGTGTTGGAGTGGGACGGAAGTAGTCGGAGCTTGGCGGTGTCAATCCGCGTACGAAGACGTGCAGCCGGTCTGCCTCATACATAGATGTAAAACCCGCAGCTTTCCTTCCCCAAGTCTTGGTAGCTTGCATGGCTCCTTCCTTATTTGCTTGTTAGTTGAGGATTCGGACGTGGCCTTGCTTGCCTTGGAGTCGTGGCCGTGGGCCGCCGGCCACCGGCAACAACTTCAATCGTGTCAGGATATGGCTTCAACTCGAGTCGGTGACGCTTTTCGTCTTCTGCATGGAGTCGACGTGTAGTCTTGATCCGATCTTTTGAATCTAGTCGTAGTCATAGGGGCAGTTCTGTGCATGTATCCGCACGTGCATGAGCACATGCAAGTCAATTTGCATGGCCGATGCTTATTGCCTCCGTCGGTGATTGCCCGGGCCCCTCCCTTGGCCACACGCTGCAATGACGTCAGGACCCGAGACAGGGTTAGGTCTTGCATGCTAGTCGGAGTCGAACTCGGTCAGTCCTGGAGTCGGCGGAGGCTGGATGCCGGGATTGAACTTGATCGAGGCAGATTGCCCGTGGAATCGGACTAAGCCTGGACACGGACCTTGCCGACAACGCTATCGATGATTCGACGAAGTGCTCCATGAGGACTAGGCGGTCGCACTGGGCTGGCACCCTATAGATCGAGGTATGCCAGAAAACGAATCGCTATAGACGACGGCAATGAAGAAATTCCGGTGCAAAATCGAAGAACAATCTTGCCGAGAACGTGATGCTGATCCTGAGGTACACCATCTGGCTCGCCGAGGATCAAGCGTACACCCCTACCTGGCGCACCAACTATCGACTAAAGACGCTCGGTAGTGCAAATGCCCACGATGGTAGATTGTTTGATAGAGGTGCGCGTGATCAGGAACTATATGGTAACAGATACATAAGACATAAGATTTATACAGGTTCAGGTCGTTAAGATGACGTAAAACCCTACGTCTTGTGCTCTGTTGGTTTGTATTGATCTGGATGACCATGTGGGGATGCCGACCAGGGACCGTGCCCCTCCTTATATACTCTAAAAGTGTAGGGTTACAAGAAAAATATCCTAGTCGGTTATATGGTAGGATTACAAAATCTGTAAGAGTCCTAATAAATCATATCTTCTATATACCTTGCGGTGTACGCTGACCAGTGTCGTGCGCCGCAAGTCTTCATGTCTTGGGCTAGACCGTCCCTGATGGTGTGGCCCATGTCTTGCATCGTGGGTACCCGGGGTCGTACCCCCACAATGGCTACGCTTTATCTGCTGGTATCTTTGGTTTCTTTGGTGGCATGATAAGTTCGGGCAACAACCACAGTGGGCGTCAATGTTGTTCTAGGCCCCTGCCTTCGAACATTGGGTTGTCACACGAACGAATCAATAAAACTAATAGCGGAGCTAAACAAAGATGAATAAAATGTAATTGGTGTATTCACTGTGAAGTATTGTCTCCTCCCTTACAATCCCCGTCTTGGGGCTATTTATACACATCCGTAGGCTTTCTATGGATAACAATACCCCTGCAACTACTACATATTCGGGGCATATTCCCGTCCACCTTGGGCTTGCTCGCCTTTTTGGAGATGTCGCCCACCCTGGATGGCACCGGCCCTCAGGTCGCCGCATGGTCCTGCACCATGTCGCCATTTGCCGACCGAGCGGGCCCCGGCGGACTGGCGCTGCCGGCGTCCTGTCTCTCGGCAGGCTCCTCTCCAGGCGAAACCTGCAAAATGAGCCACACAGACTAGTGTTAGCTATTCGCCTGAGCGAATGGTCCTGGCTATTTTATCGCCTCCGCCAATGCCTCGCCACACAACTCTGGCCAAGTTGAACCGACTATTCGCTGGGCCGAAAGCACGTGCGTGGCGTGGCGCATCGCGGTGGCACAATGGCGGCATCCCTGGGCTCACTATTCGCCAATGTACAATGACGCCACTGGCCTGCCCCCTTCGACCAGGCGAATGGGGCAGACCTTGTACTTGAGTTGGACCGACATTTCGCCGTGGAGAAATGATAGTGACTCCCTGCGAGCTAAGGTCGGCCTAACCGCCCGATGAAGGCATGGGTGCCGCGCTCTGGGTCCCTCCTTCCAGCGTGCCTCTTGCCATTTCGCCATAGCGAAATGCCAGCTGCATGTCGGGGGACGGTGTTTGAGCCCGGGGGGTGCCCACAGACTGGGGCTGCCCCCAACACAGATGAATAAGGCTAGAACAATACTCTTCTTTGAAAGAGGAATACTATAGAAAGGTTTATCTAAAACATCTCATTGGAGCTACACTACTACAAAACACATCGTCTATCCGACTCATCATACTCTCATGAATTTGTGCTGGTGTTCAAGCCGTGGTGTATGTCATTGCTTGCTATGGATACATAGCCACCCGACTTCTTTCCTTGTAGAGTTGCAGGCTTTCAGCGGTAGCATCGTCCATGCTGCCACCACAGGCACCTCAAGAACTTCTAAACAACACCCTTACAGTTTGTCTGAATGTAATGTGCCAAACGTCGGAGTTATAGTTGCAGACTTGCAGCACTGTCTGCCCTTTGGCCCATGGACCCAAATGTAGTTTCATGGTCAAGATCTATCTTGGCGCATTCATCACACACGTAGAACATCTTATATTCAGAATTCAGGGGAGCAACAAGACTGGGGTGGCAGGGATCCATCACTACTACAAAGTGGTGGCGACATACCATCCGCGACGAGGACGGCCAGAACCACCCTTTCGTTTGGAAGGAGCGCCTAGAGAAGACAACTGGAATCACGGGCATGCTGTTGAACAAGTCGAACATCAAACCCACCACAATGGGTGACATCAAAGAACTTTATTTATTCAGAGAACTGCTAGAGACCTAGAGTAACTATCACGTAGATAGCTAGATAAACTGCAGGAGCTCTGGATCTGGATTTCAGAGCGACTACTGTGAGCGGCGGTCTCCATCTCCAACGGGATGGTTCTATCCTTGTGAGACGACATACACTTGCACCCCAATAGAGTACGAGTTTATTACATTAAAAAAATTCTTAGTGGCATCCATGAATGGAATCATACAGAGAAACCTAATTTTGAAGGGCAGCCTCTAGGCTTCGACCACTCCCCTCGCCACACCGCGAAGTGGCGCTGACGACGGTGAAGTCCTGCGGCGTGTTCCAGGCGTAGGTGAAGGAGATCTTGGACCCCCTGAAGAGGGTGGTGGCGAGCATGCAGAGTTCATCCATCACCTTGATCTGCCTGCTGTCGATGGGCTCGACGCTGGGCAGGCGGTTGCAGCGCACGTCCACGTAGTCCTCCGGGCACTCGCACAGGTTCTCGAAGGTCACCCAGTACTCCGGCTGCCCCTGCACCACCTTCCCCGTCTTCTCCTGCGAGACCTTGATGTCCGACAGCTGACACCGCCCGCCTATCTGCTGCGCGTTACCCGTGCTTGCATGGAAACAGCAGGTCACGGCGGCGGCGACGACGAGCAGGACACCGGCCCTGGCAGCCATGGAAGCTGCTGCCATTTGAGTGGTTTCGTGTCTCTTTGGCTCTTCTTCTATGATGATTGTTCTTGATTGAACAAGGCAGTGAACGAAATGGGTGTCCCGTACTCCCGTAGGACTTTATAGAACCAAGATAACCAGCGACAGGGTTTTGCTTGGTTATGGGAGGGAGGAGATAATAGGTATGAGATAAATACAAGCGTTAATTTGTTGTATGTATGTAATCTTACCTGTAGGCAGTGCTGGATGCAGATTATGCCTCTATATTTATGGATTTCCTGAACCGTGCTCTTGCGTATATGATAAAATCTTGCAAACACATTATTAAGACATGTCTTTTTAGTTGTAGTATATCGGATGAAATCCTGAACAATATAATTTGCCTTGATTCTGACGAGTCTTTTAAAAAATATAATTTATTGTCTTATAATCGATGCAAGGAAGGATTTATTTCTAATTCTACTCTCCAAGAAACCACTAGAAAACATGCCACAGGAAGTTGCATACATGCATCTGCATCATGGTGTTCTCATGTATTCTCTCGGTCATGTAATATAGCACATTCAACCACTCAAAATTTATACTCAAATATAAGAGATTCTAGAGGGACAAAATATTGTTTTGTATTAAATAGTTGTATAAGTTTCATAGGTATTACAGTGTTACTTGCCATTTATCAGCTAATCAGCATTAATCTTATTGATGATAATGTCTAATTATGGAATAAAGTGAGGGTATATGTGTTTTTAGTGTTCTGTCTTAAACTATCCTAAAATCTAAAAAATGCACTGTACTACATGACAGAAGGAGTATACTCGTATATAGGGCCTATTTGGATCCCTTGGACTAACAATTAGTTGCTAAAATTTAGCTCTTGAGGTCCAAACAGGAATACTAATGGGTGGGCTAAAGTTTAGCCAAAGCTTCAACTAGTTGTTAGTTCAGTAGTTAGCAAAACCCAACTAACAGGGTTAATAAAAAGGGCTAACAATTAGCTGAGGATTCAAATTAAGATGTGTGGACTAACAACTAGTTGGCTAATTTTTAGCTCATACTTTTTAGCCATGGCTAACAACTAGTCCTAGTGCATTCAAACAAGGTCATGTACTAATTCCTTTCCTCTTTTAGTCATCAAATGAAAAAAATAAAGATGACAGAACAAAAGATTGCAAACACGAATAGGCATGACACATTTCCATATTCCATTCTTGAGCATCACACGTACTAAATGTGTTAGAGCCTCTCCATCGGATATCTTTTATATTGTATATTCTATAAATTATTTTAGAGAGTAGCTATTTTTTTAGGTACGAGACTGGATAGGATATCGATGGAAATGCTTTTATATTGGTATATAGCTGCTGACTTAAATCTGAGCCACACGGCTAAAGTGCTAGTAGGCACAAGCTCGCACAAAGAGCACCTCAACGGACCCACACATTCTAGGAAGCAAAACTTTGTGAGATCCATCGTCTAAAATTGTTTAGGGATCAGCAAGTCAACTAAAACGCTCTCACATGCCATGGAGACAAATGAGAAACAACAAACAAATGACGAAGTTAGAAAAACTAGGGTTTAAAAAAATATAACACAATGTGGTTGATGTTTACTAGACCGCCACTATAAAAAAGATTTTGAAATACAACCTCTCTAATTAATAGAGATGGATATATCTAGGGCCATCTCTGCAAAAGATTAGTGACGGCGGGGCAATGCACCGGACATAAAATGGTTAAGGCCTCTCATTAGCATGTTTAATAATAGGTAGGAGACAAATGACAATAATTTTCTTGCCTTATGTATGATAGTGTATGTTCTACCAATATGTTAATTAATCATTTATGGATGCAGGCATCCTAAGGCAACCGTCTCTATTAATCAATGATTACAAGGCCCATCTTAGAACATCCGTCTCAGTAAATTGAAATAGAGGTGGGCGAAAAATGGTATTAACATAGGAGGTGGGAGTTGTAAGAATCTGACTATAGAAATCGATTAACAGAGGTTGGCATATTGAGATTGAGAGGCCCACTTCTAAAAACAGTTGCATCAAAAAATAATTCATATATTTTCTATATGAAGTCGGATGAAGAAAAACTTATAGTATCAAAATTATAGCTTTCGATGTGACTACAACTTTGTATTTAAAAAGTTTTTGACATAACTATTTAGAGTGCCAAAATATTGTTTTAAGTTCATGAATTTTTAAATTTAAAATTTCAAAACAACACCTCTCATGTCAACATGGTCTATACTCTATACCAAGTGTTGTTATCTCTACATAAAAAAATTATACAGCCTAGTTTCCAAATTACCCTACCCTAGCAAGCTAAACTAGAAAGATAACCTAGGTAAGCAAATAAAATGTGTTAGCTTAATTGTGATAGAGATTCAAACTCCTTTTAACGACAATAATTTTTTGAGGTATCGAGAAGCTCATGCTTCCCCCATAATCCTCGTTGGAGCCCTTCGTAAGGACGCCCACACGAGGACCAAGCTCCCGATCGGATAACTCCGTGAATAGCTCAAAGTCCTTCCCCACATGCAAGTCGGTCTCCATAATGGCCTTCTTCCACTACGCCAAATTTGGACATCACTGCCGGCCTCATCACTGCCGGATTTGTGAGAACCGGCAGTGATGTTCCTTCACTGTCGGTTATGAGCTCGAAAATGAGAAAATGATTGGGGCTGGGTTAAAACCGGCAGTGAAGCACCACATCACTGCCGATTTGTGGCTTGAACCGACAGTATTTTAGCGGGCACTCATCACTGCTGGTTCAAGCCACAAACCGGCAGTGATTGGGCTCTATCACTGTCGGTTCTAGCCAAGAACCGACGGTGATAAGCCTACATCACAAAAAGGCTGCAGCCATCCTCTTCTTCCTCCTCTCTTCCATCCCGAGAACAGAGGAGCGCGTTTGGGCCCTTCCCTCCATTGTTGCGGCTGCTCTTCACCATGAAGCTAGCGCTTGGATTTTGAAGAATAGCTTGATCTTTTTTCTTTAAGGTTAGTAACAAACATCCACTCCTTTGATTTAGTTGCTTAATTAGCTTCGTTTTGATAGCTACATTGCTTGATTCTCATTCTAGTTCTTTCTCCATTCTAGAGAGCACTTTTCCAATTGGACATTTGTGCAAGGCTCAAAATATGGTGAATCCATCATCCAAACGGTTGGTGTCTATGAACACATTTAAATTCGTGGCTAATTATTCCATGGTGGTCAAGATCATTATTGTTAGTATGTGATGCTATAATTAGTTCTTAGAAGTAGAGTAGAATAGTTGTTCTTCAATATTGTGCAATAATTGTTTTTTACTACGATTTTCAATTTACATGGCTGGGGCTACCAATTTCAATTTTCCAATAATTAGTGTACAATAATATTTTTCAAAAATGGTACTTTTGAGCTACAATTGTTGTTCATGAAGCTCGATTTCTTATTAATTCTTTGTAATTACTGTCTCAGTATTTTTTTTGTTCAGAGATGGATCGAGAGTGGATGCATCTGTCCCGAACGGACAAGCGGTACATGCATGGCGTCAGCCAGTTTATCACTAATGCCAAAGCCCATGCTGGGAATGGGAACCCTGTCTTCTGCCCATGCAAAGATTGCAAGAATCAAAGGAACTTTCATCAAATTGAGTTTATACGATCGCACTTGATTACCAGGGGATTCATGCCAAACTATACGATATGGACTAGATGGCGAGGTTGGTGTGAATGTTCTGCAGGAAAACGATGATGATGTGGACATGCCTGACGTAGCCATCCACGATGGTGATGAGGAACCCAGTGTCAACACGGAACCTATGCCCACAGTTAATAATGTGTTTAGGAACACGCTAGCTGACGGCACCGAGGATAACGATGGCATTTCTCAGCTACTATGTAATGTAGAGACCGGATGTCTTAGTGAAAGACAGCTGAGAAAGCTAGAGAAAATAAGACAAGATGGCAAAACACCATTGTATAGGGATTGTCCAATGAGCAAACTGGAAGCCGACATCATGCTGTTAGAGTTCAAATCGACAAACAAATTGAGCGATAAAGGCTTCAATTAGTTCTTAGGTATAATAAGGAAAATGCTCCCAGAAAAAAACGAGTTGCTAGAAAAGACATAGTTGGCCAAGCAAATGATCTGCCCCATCGGCCTCGAGGTTGATAAAATCCATGCGTGTTCCAATGATTGCATATTGTACCGTGAAGAAAAATACAAAGACTTAGACAAGTGCCCCAAGTGTGGAGCTCCACGGTACAAGGAAGGGCCGTCAGATGAGGGTACCAAGACCAGAGGAGGTCCCGTAAAGGTCGTTTGGTATTTCCCTATAGCTCCCTAGGTGCATAGGCTGTTTGCATGTGCAAAGTCAGCCAAGCTGTTGCGCTGGCATGGCGAAGAGCGTAAGAAAGATACAATAATGAGGCACTCCACCGATGGGCATAACTGGAGGACTATCAATACTATGTTCTATAAGGACATCAGTGGAGAGGTAAGGCACCTTTGGTTTGCTTTGACCACAGATGGGATGAATCCTTTTGACCAGGTTAGAAGCAATCATAGCACCTGGCCAGTGGCGCTCTGTATATACAACCTTCCACCTAGGGTCTGTATGAAGTGGTCGTACATCCAGATGTCACTACTGATCCAAGGGCCAAGACAACCTAGGAATGACATCGATGTGTTTCTAGAACCAGTGATCGATGAACTAGTGGAGATGTTTGAAAAGGGTGTGCCGGATGTTTGGGACGAGTACAAAAAGGAACATGTCACGATCAAGAGAGTACTTATCGCTACAATCAATGACCTGCCAGGTCAAGGTTCGTTGTCCGGAGAGAAGACAAAAGGCTATACTGGATGTGTCGAGTGCTTGGACGACACCGCTGCTGTAAATCTGCCTATAACTCAAAGATAGTTTATATGGGACACCGTAGGTTCCTACCTAAGGATCACCCTTACCGCAGGAATAGAAAAGATTTCAACGGTACTATTGAGAAACGCTTAGCTCTAAAATATCGAGACGAG